GGGGGGGGGGGACCCTGGCACAGTGCCATCCATATCCTGTAATCTCAGCTGAAGGACAAGGATCACAAGTGCAGTCCTGCCTGGGCAATTTATCGAGACCTTATCTCAAATTTTAAAAATAAATAAATAGGGTGGGGGATTTAGCTCAGTGGTTCTGCCACCTGCCTCAAAAGCACAAGGTCCTAAATTCAATCCCCAGTACCAAAAAAGAAGCAAAAATTAAAATAAATAAGTAAAGGGCCAGGGATATATCTCAATGTAAAGCACTCTTGGGTTCAATCCTCCAGTACCACCAATTAATTTTATGTCTTATTTTAAAAGCAATTCAAGGGCTGGGGATGTAGCTCAGTGGCTTAGCGCCTGTCTGGCAAGCACAAGGTCTTGAGTTTGATTCCCGGTACCAAAAAATAAACAGAAGCAATTCAAAGCTGGGCTTGGTGACACGTGTCTGTAATCCCAGCACTCTGGGAGGCTGAGACAGGAGGATCACAAGTTAAGAGTTGAGCCTAGGCAACTTTGAGTTAGACCCTGTCTCGAAAGAAAGGGGGGCAGTGCTGAAGATGTAGTCAGGAGGAAGGTCCTGGGTTCAAACCTCAGTACCACAAAGTAAATTATGTAAAAGCAATTCAAAATTATTACTGAAATACTAGAAAATAAGTAAGCCAAAAGAAGAAAATTAAAACATCCATAATTCCACCTATGTAGCAATTCTTACACTTCAGTATCCTTTCAGGATTTTGGTGGGTTTGTTTTTGTTTTTGTGTTGTTGGGTCTTGCAAGATACTAGGCAAATGCTCTGGCTCTGAGCTACATCCCAGCCCAATTTTTTAATTTATTTATTTTATTAATATATTTTTTAAAAGATGCTTTGTGTATCAGGTGAAAAAGCAGCTCTTTGTTTAGAAGTACAAGATATTTTATTTTATTTTTTTCCAAGTACAATTTTTTAATAAAGATAATTACAAAAGATGGAAAAATCACTCAGAAAGGCCAATTACTTTAATAGATCAGTTTTTGACATAATAACTCACATCAGTTTTAAATACTATCACATAAAGCATAGTGGAGAAAAGAAATTTTGCTTCATAATTAGAAAAACTCACAATAAAACTTGCCAAGAAAAACAAAACAAAAAGCCATTTTGAAAATAAACACAGTCCATGCCAAAGTAGTATAAAATGAAACTCCAAGTCTTCAAAAAGAAAAGTTTTTGTCCCAATGTTTCCTCGATTTTTAATGATTTTCTAAAATTGGGAAGACCTTCCAATTCAAGGCTTGCTGAGTAGTTCTGATTTGGCTCCTTTGGTATCTGTTTTTTCACCACTATTGTCCTTGGATTTATCTTCTTCCTTTATATCTGCTTGTCTTCTGTTTCCTTCTTGTCTTCCTCAATTCTAGCTTTCTTTGCTCCTTTTTTATGATCAGCCACATTTCTACGACCTTCCCCTTCATCCTCAGAATCTGAGAATTCTTCATCACAAGCTATCCGCTTGTCTGATGCTCGAATAGAAATCCTCTTGTCGGGGTCTTCTCCATTTTCATGGCCACTGTCCTCATGAACAGCATCTTCCGGTAGAGCTTGCATCTGGACACCAGGTGCATGAGGTAACATGCGTAAATTTTCAAATCAACGCTGCTTTATCTTTTCCATATATTCTGGAGTGTTCTGATTTGTCATGTTTGATGGGCTAATATGCAGTTTGAAGTCCGGTCCAAAATATTCAAAATAATCATTATATGGCAACTCGATAGGGATCTCACAATCAAGAGCTGCTGCAGTCCCGTAGGTCCAACAGCGAGCAACATTGTGGATTGTGTATCCACCGCCCCCAAGCATCAGTAATGGCAAGTTAAAAGTTTTTACAACTTCTACACACTTAGCATGACCTTTGACTGTGAGACTGAAGCAACCAAGCCTATCACCAGATAGAGAGAGAGTCTGCACCACACTGCAAAACCACCGCACTGGGCTGATACATCTCCATTACCTTTGAGATAATAGGTTTAAATATCCGCCCATAAGACTCATCACCTATACCATCTCTCACTGGAAAATTGACAGCATAGTATTTGCCTTTCCCAGCACCAATGTCCCTCAAGTCTCCTGTGCCAGGAAAGTACTCCCCATATTTATGGACTGAAACGGTCATTACTCGATCTGTTGTATAAAAAGCTTCAACACCATCACCATGATGGATATCTATATCAATATGCAAGACTCTCTGATGATACTTTAGTAATTCAGGATGGCAAGCACAATATCATTAACATAACAGAATCCTGAAGCTTCTGATTTTTTTGCGTGATGTAATCCGCCAGCCCACTTAACAGCCATATCAGTCTGCTGCCGATTTAACTTCACAGCCCCAGCAACTGAGCCACCAGTGGAGAGCTGACAAAATTCAGAGTCCATCGAACACTGGACAATCTTCCCCAACATTAAACCTCTGCATCTGCTTACTGTACTCAGACATGTTATGTGGTCGTATGGACCGTAGACATTTGATATACTCATCACTATGGTACTTCGTCATTTCTTCAGCAGTGGCTTTGTGAGGCCTATATATTTCCATTTTTCTGTATAAACCATAATTTAACAGCAAGTTATGAGTCATGCGGATTCTATGAGGTTTCATGGGATGACCTTGTTCACAGTAATAATTTCCAATATCACCGTCGTAATAGTAGCAGACTTTCTTCTTGCCACCTCCCTGACTGTAGGCCAGGGGCCCGGCCGCTGCCTCCCGGCTGCTGCTGTTGCTACTGCTACCGCCGGCTCGGCACGAAGAGAGGGCTGCGGGGTGGAGGGCCGCGCAGGGGGGGCAGGCCGTGCGCCAAGGGCAGAGAGCGGGACGCAAAACCGACCCGCCGGGCCGAGAGCGCGAACCCGGGTGGCGGTGCCGACTCCTGACGCTAGCGGGGGAGGGGCCTATTTATTTATTTATTTATTTATTTATTTATTTATTTATGGTACTGGGGATCGAACTCCGGTCCTTGCGCCTGCAGGACAGGCGGTGGAACCAGTGAGCTAAATCCCTGGCCCAGTACAAGATATTTTAGATGCTATGAGATCAACAAGGTCTTTCCAGTTCCAAAGCGATGCCATCTTAGGAAGTGGAAGCAGGAAGGGAGCTATTAGCCCTGTTGGAATGAGACACTTTACTGTTATCTGCTGGAACATGATTGCAATACATTATAAATCAGGTATACTCTGCAATTAAGGGATAACACAAGAAAAAAAAATTCCAAAAATTTTTGTTTTCAAAATAATGAAGATGGGCCGGGGATCACCAAAACTCATCATCAGATCACCAAACTCACTCCGGGCAAGACACATCTATCTGCTCAACTGCCAGACACTGCTCCCAGCGCTCGCTCCGGTTAATCTCCAGATCTCCATTAGGAGTCCTACAGACTCCCCCAGGGATGCTCCTGTTTGCTCAAGTCTGACTCCCCCAACACCCTCATTCCCACCACCCTCTCTGAATTCCAGAATGCGTTCCTCAGCCTTTGCTGAGAACCTCTGAATTTGCTCTTAGCTACATCAAAGACAACCAAAACGACTGGCTCGCCCAAGCAACTCCTTCCTTCAGCAAAGAATAGGGAATTCTGATCGGCTTCGGAAAAATGCTTTTGACAGAACAACTGCTCGCTGGGAACCTTCCTGCAGTCTGAGTTCCAACTTCCGGGTAAGTGACGGACGTGGACTACATTTCCCAGAAGTCTCAGGAGCACAGAGCTTTCGGGCGCGGGGCGAATTTGCAGGAGGAGAGCATTTTCTTGGACCTGGTTCCCAACTCCGGACTGTTTCCCGGCTCTCATTTCCCATAAGCCTCTGTATCCACACACACATCGGACTTTGGGGTTCCTTTCCCTTGTCCTCAAGTTCTTGGACACCGAGCGGTGAGTTGGTCAGCACAGCCTGGGCAGGGTGGGAGAGCTCAGAGGTCTCCAACCGAGCCAGATCAGAACTGGCCATGAGTGAGACGGTGGTGGCCCTGGCGGGGTGACTGGTGGTAAGAAGGCTGGCATAGTGTATGCTGTACCCAGAGCCTCAAGTGTACCTGAATAGCTGAGCGGCATAGTGTGTTCCAGGGCTGAGGATGGTGTGACAGGGCCGAGGGGTGTCTTTGTGATTGTGGGTGCGGTTGGGAATGTATGACTGGGATGAGGTGTGTGGTCTTATTCCTAGGTGTAGTTTGCTCAAGGCTATCTCGAGGCTGTCTTTGGGCCTGCCACAGTTACATGACCCCAAGAAAGGACTCTCTACTAAGTCCAAGAGAGTAGTGGCAAACCTATGGCATGCATGCAGCAGCGGGCTGTTTGTATCACTGACTGAAAGTGTCTTCATGACAAACTCCTGGGAAGACGGAACAAAGAGGATCTAGAGATGGGATTCCTAGAAAAGGCTCTTCTAGGAGCTCTTTAGGAGCCAGCTAAATGTTTCAGAGTCACTGCAACTAGATCACTATTCTTGAGAATCGCTGTCAACTCAGAGACAGACTCCAGCTGCCTTTTTAATTGTGTGGATGAAGACAGATATGGCCCTAGGTGTTTTTTTGGGTTTTTTTACAAAAAAGAAGAGAAATGCTGGCATCTCATGATTTCCCCCAGTGCTGTCAGGTTCCTAAGAGGACCTGGAGGAGGAGGAAAGAATTTTTGCCTATTTGGAAATCCAGGATTCTGAGTTTCTTTTTTATTTATATAATTACTTTTTCTTCTAGGTCATGAGAACAGTACTTTCCTTGGCCTGAGATATCTTGACTCTATGGTCTATTCTGAGTTTTCCTTCTTGTGAATGACCCACTATCCTAGTACATCCTTCTCCTCAGTGGCTACATATTGTCCCTCTCCTCCATTATTAGCCACTTGTTCATTGGCAAATTGTTCACTCTACTGTATTGTGTTGTAGAAATACACCTCTGGGAGATTCATGCTAGAGCTTTATTTTAGACTCTGATCACTTGAGATTAATACTTAAGTGGTATTGTGTACAAACTCTGAAAACAAGTCTTTCCCACAGTCGTGACTTTATTCTTTTTTTTTTTTTTGTACTGGGGATTGAACTCAGGATCTTCTGCTTGCAAACAGGCAGGAGCGCCACCACCCCAGTCATGACTTTTTTTTTTGGTACCAGGGATTGAACTTGGGACCTTTCACTTTTGAGGCAGGCACTGGAACCACTGAGCTAAATCCCCAGCCCCCAGTCATGACTTTTAAGCAAGGCAAATTAGAAGATGTTTTAAAGGAAGACAAGGTTTCAGCCAATGAATGATAATATTGTCTTCTTTCTGAGGCTTTTAGCCACAGAAATGTGATTGAGCTTTTCTGTTCAGGGATTTTTAGTTTCACCAATCAGGGCAGGAACTTTGAGATAATCTGTGGATAGAAATCTGTAACATTGCCTGACATGGATTGTTTTGGGTCGGGCTTTGTGTGGCTTGTGAGAGGCAGCACTGTGTTGTGGTCAGAGTAAGGGTTGAACCAGAGTATCTGTACTTAAATCCTGGCCCTGCCTTTTATTTGCTGTGTGAGCTTCTGGACCGGGACTCAAGACTGTAACCTGTTCACCTACTTGGGGCATTTTTTGGAGCACAGTTGACTAGCTTTATGCCATATTTGTAAAAGTAATACACAATAATGATAGGGAAAAGTTTTAGATAATTTAATAGATTAAATATTAAGGTAGTTGTAGAAGCAAAATAAGTAATGTGTTCTTGTAAGATTTGCTTTTCCCATATCTCGTTTAAGGTGACGGTAATCTGACTCTTTAACCAGTAACTTCATTAACCTAACAAAGTTACCATGCCAGGGTGAATTTACAATGTATATGTGCCTATCTTGTGTCTGTGACTTGTAAATAGGAGCTGGAATTGTATTTATACATCAAAGACCACTAGGGATGAGATAATGGCTATAAAGGATATAAAAGGGGAACCGCTGAACAAAGGGGGCTTGGATAGTAACCAGACCTGTTTCTGGCGTTCCTGCCCGCTCTCGAGAAGAAATTTTATTATTTTATCTGAATTCTGTGTTTTCGTGTGTTTCTTTCCGAGATTTCTGCAACATTTGGTGCGTTGGCCAGGCATCGGGAATGAAATAGCACTTTTGGGCATTGGCCGAACCCCACCGGAGGGAGCAGCTCTCTGTCTCCTCGAGAGGAAAAGTGTGCCCCTGGGACTAATTTCCTAGGCTCCCCAACAGGACTCAGAGACCCGCTCACCAGTGGAGGATCGCCCGAACCCGAGAAGACTATAGAAGGAGGACTGCTGCTCTTGGTGTCTTGTCTGTCTCTTTCCTTTGCTGGGTGAGAAACCCCAGGGAAAACCCCTAGTCGTTAACTTTCAGTTTTGCCTTGTGAATTTGTATTTTGTAACTTTGGGCAAACATAGCGCAGGGGCCCGATCACCCCTTGTGCTTTGCCATTTGGGGAGGTAGCTCCTCCCATTGGTTTTGGTTTATAATTATAATTTATATTACAATTTTTGGTTCACTTTGTGAACTTTGGGCAAACATAGTGGAGGGGCGATGGGATGGAATGTGGGATTGCTTGGTTACCACCTCAGTTTATGTGAGAGTGCCTGCTTTAGGAGGCTTTGGGGATAGAGATGGGAGTGAGTGGTTCTTTCCAGGGATTCCCTGATAGGTGAGCACCATCATCAATGTCCTGCTTGTCCTGGGTGGCATCTGTGTCATGTGTGACATCCTCTGACTCAGGGACCAGGGAGGTGTTGGGTGAGAGGTGGTTGGTGGGAGCAGTAAGAGGATGACCCAGATGCCTACATGATCCTAGATTCCCGGAATTATGAAAATCCTTGAAAGTTTTGTTCTATCTAAATGTATAAATATGATAAGGTGATTTATATATTTAGGGTATTAATAAATTGCAGCCAATAATAAATATTTTATCTATCATAATAACAATGTTTATGATGTAATCTAACAATGATTTAGATGCAGCTTAATAGTAATTCTTAATTTAATGGAAATAAATGTTTTAAAATAGAGATTTTAAAGTACATTTGGAAAAGTAGTTTTTTCCTATTTCTTAAAAAGAAAAGACAGCAATTGATGTTTATAAAGAATTTATGAGGGCTGGGGATTTAGCCTAGTGGTTCTGCCACCTGCCTCACAAGCACAAGGTCCTTAGTTCGATCCCCAGTACCAAAAAAGAAAATTAAAAAAAAAAAAGAATTTATGAAACAAGCACATAGTTGTATGTACACATGCACACAGTCTTTATTTGATAGAGGAGAAACTAGGATTATTTTATGCATTTCCAGATAGATGTAGATAGCTGAGTTATCTACGTCTAGAACCTGTTGACTTTCTTCTTTGGTTGCACTAATGTTTTTACTTTTCCCTACCTGAACCACAGGCTTCCAGCCTACTTGATTGCTATATTTTCCCTCTTGTTGCAGTTTGTCCTTCATACGCTCATTTTTCCTCTTGGAAATATATTCTTTCATTTCACAAGTAATGGGTGGGTTTCTGGTTTTAGGAATCGGTGACCTTCGGGGATGTGGCCATCGACTTCTCTCCAGAGGAGTGAGGTGCCTGGACCCTGGTCAGAGGGACCTGTATGTTGATGTGATGTTGGAGAACTACCACAACTTGGTGTCACTGGGTAAGGTCACCTGCCTGGAATGTATGGCAAACCACCTCTCAGTGACCTCAGCTCTCCACATGGGAAGTTACCCTGGGGACCAGCTGAGTCCCACAGCTGCCTGCTTGAGGGGTACAGCAAAGGATAAAAGACAGAGAGACAATTTTGTAGCTACATGGTGGGGTGGGAGATCAATGCCTCACGTTAGGCAAAGACACAAGACTCTCCAAGCCTGCCACTATTTATTGAGTACACATAAGCAATCAGAGGGGTGGTGACTCAAGGGACAGAGACAGTGGGTGCCATGGACTAGTAAAAGAAGAACAAAGTATTCTCGGAAGGACTGAATGTAAGTTAGTAGGGAACCTGAGTCTTCCCCTGAAGTGGGATTTTTAACCTCTCCTGCATTGTTCTGAGGAGTTAGGTCCTCAGCCAATGTTGTCTTGCTCTGAACATCATGGCTTTATGGGTGTTCATACCTCTTCTACTGGGAGGAAGTGGAGTCTCCGCATACCAACTGGCCCACAAGGCAAAGTACCCAGCAGCCTTGCACTCCCCTAGCTTTAATTCACAGATTGTGGGCCCCGACAAAGTTATAGGGCTATCTTTGAAGAAATTTCTTCTCTTCATTCTCAAAGGAATGTTGTAATTCTTTGTTGGGCTAGAAATGGGGTCTTTGAGCCAAGTGTGGTAGCACATGCCTATAATCCTGGAACTGGGGAGGCTGAGGCAGGAGGATCACTGTGAATTCAAGGCCACCCTGGACTACATAGATGTAACAAAGCAAAGAGAACAAAACAAAGCAAAAAAAAAAAAAAAAATCCCACCAAAACCAAACAAACCAAAAACAGGCTCCTTGAGCACCTTGATTTTCCCCATCCCGCAGAGATCTTCAGCTCTTCCCTGGCCCTTCTGTAGCTGACTCTTTAATGACCAAGGTGCCATATTTGCACTGTAGGGTCTGTATTCCTAACCTTTGTCAAAGAAACCGGGTCACATGCTGTGTTCCCTTCAGACTTTCTACACTGTTGCTACTCGTAGTGTGGCTCTTTTGTCTGAGGAGCCACCAGACAAAAGTCAATGAAGGAGAGAACACCAAAAATTCAGAAAGGGAGAGAGAAGAGCCCAGATGACAGGCAGTTTCATTGGTTTGGGGCAGGAATGTATGTGCATTGTTTTCTCTGTGATTAGAAGCCATGATTTGGCTTACCCAGTGTGGGTGTGTGTTAAATTTATCTTTGTATTGTAAAGTATTGCATAACATTGGGTTCTTCCAGGGCTGGCCAGAAATACAGCATGTCAGGTCCTATCCTGGACCTGCCCCAAAGAATGCATTTACACAAGATCTGCCAAATGATCCTGTACCCATTGAAGTGAGAAACACTGTTCTTTGTTCTTTCCTGACCCACATGCAGGGAGAACTACTAGCAACAGAGTCCTGATATGCTGTAACTTTCGAGAGCTTTTGCACTGTATATAGGGGTGGATAACATGGACAGAATGCATTTAATACTAAAGCGAACACATTCCTTACAAGAGATCTGAAGTTGAAAGTTACACCCTATGAACTGTGCATTTAACATTGAGTTAAGTCCTAAACTGTCTCATGAAATGTCCTGTTTTTGTCCTAGCAATATAACAGCAGTAGTTTAAAAAGAAAAAGAAAAGAACAGCAGTAGCAAATGTAATTTCAGTAGTTAGTACTGTGCTTACTTTATACGAGGCTCTGTTCTAAGCAGTGTAAATACACTAACTTATTTAATCTTAACATCCTCGGGATGTGGGTACCACATTCCCATTTTCTAGATGAGAATACTAAGGCACACGCAGTTTAAATGACCTTCAAGCTCACAGAGTTGGTGGGAGGTGTTGGCAGGAAGTGAACCTAGAAAGTCTGGCTCCAGAGTCTGATTTCAACTTCTGTGTTGTATTTACTCTGAAGAGATGGAGCTCTGAATGAGTCTAAAACAAGATCATTTTCTTACTGAGGTGATCTCATCTTTTTATTCTCAGATGTCTTTATCAATATTATTTTTACCTTTATTACAAATTGAACTAAATGTTTTTGAGTTTACAACTTAAAAAATGCCTAGATCATTTGGCATTTCTTTTTTTTGCAAGCCGACTCCCTTTTCCTAAGCCAGATGTGAGGGCATTATTAGGGCAAGGAGAGCACTGGGGATGGCGTGAGGGGAAAGACAAGAACTTGGAACCCTGGAGGGAAAAGCAAGGTGGAGGCAGGAACCATCTCTTCAGGGGACAGCCTCACAGGTCACAGAGGAGAAGGAGGAGGAGGAGAAGGAGGAGGACTCATGAACAAGATTGATAACTTGCCAATTTTCATGCACTTTATAGTAGGGGAGAAATATAAAATAAGTAAGTGAATAAATAATATAATAACTCATGTTCCTTAGGAAAGATAAATAGCAAAAATGAATAGAAAATGATGGGGATTGAAAGGGATAAGTTAGAAAAGATGCCCAGGGAAAGCTTTCTAGAACAGAGACAGAGTCTGGGGGTAAGCTGTGTAAGATATTCATCTGGAGGAGGAGTTCATTAATTTTAATGAACAGCAAATGCAAAGGACCTGTGGTTGGAAAGAAAGTTCATAAGGCCAGAGCAGGTAGTAAGGGAGGATGTACTAAGAAATTAGGTCATAGCTGGGTGCAGTGGTGTATGCTTATAATCCAAGCATACTAGGAGGCTGAGGCAGGAAGATCATAAGTTTGAGTCCAGACTGGGCAATTTAGTGACTTAGCAAGACCCTGTCTCAACATAAAAAATAAAAAAGGGCTGGGAATGCAAAGGTCCTGAGTTCAATCCTCAGTACTGAAAACAAATTAGGTCTTAGAAGTAGGCAATGAGGGCCGGGGATTTAGCTCAGTGGTTCCACTGCCTGCCTCACAAGTGCAAGGTCCTGAGTTTGATCCCCGGTACCAAAAAAAAAGTAGGCAATGAGTAGATAATAAAGTTTTATTGTTTTTGTTTTTAGCATCCAGTGAGTTATGTAAACAAAAATTTTATCCAAATAATTTTGAGCTAATTGAGTTCTGCATTATGTCAAACAAAACTAGCTATTTCTAGTATCTGTTATTTTGTAAGGCAAAGGGACAAATCTGTGTGCTTGCCCAGTGGGCCTTTAAGTAGAGCAAAGGGTAGATTTTATGTAAAAAACATAATCTGGGGCCGGGGATTTAGCTCAGTGGTTCCGGTGCCTGCCTCAAAAGCGCAAGGTCCCCGAGTTCAATCCCCGGTACCAAAAACATAAAATAAAATAAAATAAAAAATAAAATAAAATAAAAAACATAATCTGCTATGATTTGTTACATTATCCTTAATTTGGAAAAAACAGTGTCATAAGGAGTTGTCACAGGAGCTTGAAAGTGACAGAGTTGCCTTGACTCCCCAGTCAAAACAGTACTCAAACAATAAACATAACAGTAATAAAGAATTTCAATTTAAAATAATTTAAAATACTGTCCTATTTAAATGTAGTTTAGATGTATGATAAAAGGGAGCTAAAAGCACAAAAATTTGCATCTTGAAATTTAAAGTCTACATAGAGGCATGGCAGATTAACCTTTTATTTTCTCCATATACTGAAAATAATGAACATTAATTTCCTCATATAGAGACACTGAGCTCATTGTTTTCCTTTAGCTTTGCTATCATCTTGTACCTAAGTTACTTTTTTCTTACATGGTGACATGATATAGCATTTCCCATGTACTTGGGAGTACAGTATTGTCGTAACGTTCCAGGCTGAATGACGATATTGCTTAAGCTTTCATTTTCAATTTTAAAATCTAGTTCACAGTATTAATGTGGTGTAAGATTATGTGTGGGTCACACTGATCTCACCATATCAGTTTGAGCTTAACTGAATGAAAGTGTACTTAAAAATAGTAGAGAAATAAGTGAAGTTAATTGAATGATAACTCAAAATGTTTACTACCTGTTTTATGAATATCTTCTTAGTTGCTTTTCATATGCAAAATAATTTACTATGAAGATCATTATTTCTAAGCCTGTTACAGATCTTATAATTTACAGTGATCCTTCAACAGCAGTATAATTACTGTTGAGTTTTAAAATGGGGAGACACTTAACATTTTTTAAATAAGGTAACTGTAGACTCACATACTTTGCAACATTCTCTGAAATTATAGAATCAATCCTTTTATAAAAATATAGCTAATAAATTAAATATATGTTTAATTGAACATAATAGTTTTATAATTGTAAACATTTATGAAATTAATGTTAAGTTTTCTCAGAGGTTGGTAAAGAATGAACCTGGAAGCCAAATCCACCTGTTTTTGTGATTAAAGGAGAATTGGGACATGCCATGCCCATTTGTTTATGTTTATATCACATCTATGCCTGCTTTCTTGATAAAAGGGCAGAGCTGAGTAGTGGGAACTGTGTGGCCCTATATAGAACAACGTTCCTAAACCATAGCTTATCTGACGAGTACCACAGGTATAGAAAACTCAGGTATTTCAGGACATATTTCTATGATTAAAATATGCCCAAGGCTAGCATAAATTATAATATTTTTCTAAGACAGTTTTAAAGTTGTGATAAAATCTGGAAGATGACATTATCATACTAGGCTAATATTCAAGGATTTATTTTATATGACTTGAATTCTTATTATATTTATATATCACATAAACTTTTTTGTTTTCAATACTAGGGATTGAACCCAGGACCTTCACAGGGGGCCACATCCCCAGCCCTTTTTACTTTTTATTTTGAGACAAGGTCTCGCTAGATCACTAAGTTGCACAGGCAGGGCTTAAACTTGTGATCTTCCTGGCTTAGCCTCCCAGAGTGCTGGGATTACAGGTGTGCACCACTACACCTGGTTTTATATCAACTTTTAAAAGTGTTTTAAATACACTGAAAATTGAATAGTAGTGCTTTCTTTTTTATCTTGTAACATGATAAACAGGGCCATTATTTTAACTTGGAAGTAAACCCTTTGTCTATATTTTTAAAAGAGCTACAACAGTTAAAGCATTGGGAATATAATTTTTCTTTGTTAAAAATTGTGACTTGTATTTTGTAAAAGCACATGTAAGTACTTTTTAGTCCCTATACTTATAAACTATTACCACAGAACATCCTTAGATTTTTAAACTCTCATTTACTAATTTTCTTTTTTTCATTCTAGAACTATTTGGAGTTGAGAAAATTGAAAATCTGCCAAAATGGTCCCTGTACTTCTAAATTATCTTTAATGAAAAGCCTGCCACTTTGTTGGGTATGCCTGGAAATTTAGATAATAGTGAATATACATATAGAAACTGAATTCTCTGAAGAGGAAACTTCATTGTTTCATGCTTGCAAATATTTTATTTAAATCAGAGCATACACAGAAGATACTGTTTCTGTGCCTGAAAGATACTCAAGAGTGATGTAAAATAGCGAAGCCCATTTCACCAGTTGTGTAGTCAGGACTAGTCAGTCTAGAATCTGGTAATCATTAGATTGTAATCTTGCTGTGGAATAGGGCATGATTCAAACCACGAGGTACCTGGAGAATCCATTACAAAAATACACATTAACCCACCATTAGTGACTTATGAGAAGTATAAGGTGTGGGAAGTGATGACATAATTTCCTGTAGATCAGCTATGTTGGGCTTAGTTTTTTGGTACGGAGGATCGAACTCGGGTCCTTGTGCTTGCAGGGGAGGTGGCGGAACCACTGAGCTAAATCCCCGGCCCATACGTTGGGCTTTTTGACCCAGTATGTATTAAAGTCAATTAGAAAGTAGAGATCATTCCTTTTCTCCCAACAAATCACATACAAATAACCAAACAGACAATATATCAAGGTTGGAAGTTTAGCTAATAAACTCTGGAGTTAAACTCAGATCTTATAGGAAACTTTTGGCAAGAGGTAAAGGAAACATGCTACATATCATAGAAAGCTTAGACTAGGTTAGACAAACTATAAGCAGCCAAAGTCCATAACAGTAAGAACTTGATCACCGTTAAGAACATACGTAGGGGCCAGGGATTTACCTCAGTGGTTCTGCCACCTGTCTCACAAGCGCAAGGACCTGAGTTCGATCCTCAGTACCAAAAAAAAAAAAAAGAAAGACATACATAGAAGGGATGTTGAATGACTACATCTTTAGACACAGCCCTTGGTTGATGGAAGCTCACATTTTGGTTTAAGGCTATCATCACCATGAGAAAATAAGCCGTGCTGAAGTGCTCTCAGTGAGTCCTTCAGAAAACTATCAAGTCAGACCATTAAGATCATGAGAGCTGGAAAATCAAAACTGAGCTGATTGTGTAACAGGGGACCCTTGATGCTCATGAGTGAGATCAGCAAGTCTCCTAATTCAGTTCACTCCCAGTAGGTATTTTCTGTTTCTGTTTTATTTCTACTATAGAGGTGTTTTGTTTTTTTTCCTAGTAAAGGAAAAAAAATGTGTGGTTTTCTTGTTTTGTTTCAGATTTGGAGTCAACATATGGAACAAAAAATGTGTTTTCTGGAAAGAATATTTTTGAAATAAATTTTTTCCAATGGGAGATAAAGGAAAAAAATAAAACCCTTGGCCTAGAGGCATTCATTTTCAGGGATAATTGGAAATACAAAAGCAAAGCTGAAGGACTACAGGAACATCAAGAGGGATACTTTCATCAGATGCTAAGAAGCAATGAAAAAATACACGCATACAAAAAAAGCAAATCTCATATCCCACATCAACGAATTCATAATAGAGAGAAAACTTCTGTTTGTAAGTAATGTGGGAAAGCTTATAGCCATGACTCCAAACTTGTCCAACATGAGAGAACTCACACAGCTGAAAAGCATTTTGAATGTAAAGAGTGTGGGAAGAACTTTTTTAGTGCCTATCAATTTACTGTGCATCAGAGATTTCATACTGGTGAGAAACCCCATGCATGTAAAGAGTGTGGAAAGGCCTTTAGTTGTGGTTATCATCTTACTCAGCACGAGAAAATTCACACTGGTGTGAAATCTTATGAATGTAAGGAATGTGGGAGGCCTTCTTTTAGGGCTCAAGCCTTGCTAAACATAAGGTAATTCATACAGGTGAGAAACTATAAATGTAGAGCATGTGGGAAGGCTTTCAGTCATGGTTATCAAATAACTCAGCATCAAAAAATCCATACTGGTAAGAAACCTTATGAATGTAAGGTATGTGGACAGGCTTTTTGTTGGGGTTATCAACTTACTCGACATCAAATATTCCATACAGGTGAGAAACCCTATGAATGTAAAGAATGTGGGAAGACTTTTAATTGTGGATCAAATCTTGTTCAATACAAAAGAATCCATACTGGTGAGAAACCTTATGAATGCAAAGAATGTGGAAAGGCCTTTAGCCAGGGCTATCACCTTACTCAACATAAGAAAATTCATACTGGTGAGAAACCTTTTAAATGTAAAGAGTGTGGGAAGGCCTTTATTTGGGGTCCAAGCCTTGTTAAACATGAAAGAGTCCACACTGACAAAAAAATCCTATGAATCTGAACCATGTGGGAAATGTTTAGTAATGTCTATTAACTAAGCGTTCATCAGAGATTTCATACTGGTGAGAAATGTCATCAGTGTGAAGAATTTAAGAACATCTTTACTAATGGTTCAAATTTTGATCAGCTGGAGAGAACTGATAGTAATAAACCCTGTGGATATAAAGAATGTAGGGAAGCCTCTATATGGACAATTTATTCAAATAAGAAAATTTATGCTGATGAAACATTATGATGAAGAAAGATAAAAGAACATTTTTGTGTATGGACAACTTAATGAGAAGAAATCTTACTCTTTTTTTTTTTTTGGTACCAAGGATCGAACTCGGGTCCTTGCGCTTGCTCAGTAGGCGGCAAAACCACTGAGCTAAATCCCCAGCCCCTAAGAAATCTTACTCTTGAGAAAGCCTATGAATGTAAGGAATGTGCAGTTTTTCTTGTGTATGGATAATAGCAAAGATATACTAGTCAGAAATATTTTGAATATAACGAATATGTAAAGGCCTGTGTGATTTTATCAAACATCAATATGTAGGGCCGGGGATTTAGCTCAGTAGTTCTGGTGCCTGCTTCACAAGCGCAAGGTCCTGAGTTTGATCCCTGGTACAAAACAAAACAAAACAAAACAAAATCAATATATAGATGTGAAGCCATTTAAAGGTAAGGAATATGTGAAGATTTTTATCCATTGGCACAAGGTCTGATGAACATCATTTATACTTGTTAGAAATGTAAGAAATAGGTCCAGGGGTTTAGCTCAGTGGTGCTGCCACCTGCCTCGAAAGCACAAAGTCCTGAGTTTGATCCCTGGTACCAAAAAAAAAAAGGAACTAAAAAGAGGGGCGTAGATGTGGTAAACAACATAGAGTACATCAGAGAATTCATCTGAAAGAGAAATTTTGAATTGGGAGAATAGAAAGGCTCTTAGTTAGGTACTGCTCAAATTATTTTCTAGAGATTAATGCCAATTCACAAAATATTCACCTGTCCACTATGAGACAAATGCACACAATTTTTTGGAAACTTGTCGCACTTTGGTATTATCATAACATTTTAACTGTGTTTTACAGAAGTATCAGCCCATGAGTGATTAGAAATTGAAAACAAAACGTTTGTCCTTCTCTGGGAATAATTTTAGAGACATCATTCACACTTTTTAAAACATGAGATAAACCAACAATAGGATTTAATTCAAATAATCCTTTATTTGTTTTCTCTCTGATGAGACGAGAAGAAAGTTCATAGTATAGGAAGATACAGAAAATAAGGGAATCAATTTTCTTATGCCCATGACAACATAGAATTTATACCAGATGTGTATGTGCAGAGGCCTAGCAACACCATTCAATCTTTGTTGTATATTAATAAATTTGTCTTTGACAACCACCCTGTTAATGTAACAAATAGGGAAACCCTTATACGTGACAGAAATCATACTTGTTGCCAGTGCACCTCCTTACTATTTGTGGGATGTCAGACCAAATGCTTATTCTCTTTTATATTTAAATTAAGTGCTAATGATGCTAACTATCTCATTCGAGCTGTTGTAGACATTGGATGGATTTAGTATGTCCCAGATCCATGGAAGAGTATCTGGCATAGAGCTTATGACCAATACATATTAGTTGTTCTTCATCATTAATATTACTACTGTTGGATTCTTAGGGAAAGCCATTTGGTGTAGTGCATTTAGAAAACTCTCCCTTAACCATTCACTCATTCTGGAAAAATTGATAAAATGAAAGTTTGAAAGGATTTTTTTGGATTTATCCCTTAAGTTGCACAAAAAATTGAGTCTGGAAAAAAAAACAGTTTAAGAAAGCTGTTTCTAGAATGGCATGTTTGTGTTTTTTCTCATGGTGAATTACCTCATGGTGAAATTTAATAATCTGCCTCCATCCTTTATATTTTTCATAAAATGGAGTGAGAGCTAATGGCTCTCTTAAACATATTTGGCTGGAACACTTCATAGATGGTGATGTGTACTTCATATTGCAGCACATCAGAAACATTATACCCATGTTTCAAACCATTACCAATGCTAAGTTTGATCACTTGATTAATTATAATAGTTGTAGCATGAATCTTTACAATAGAGCTCTCCATTGTAAAGGTCCATTATACAACTAGTAGAACTGGCAAACTTAGGTCAGCTACTCTTGGAAATATATAACTATATGTATGTATTTTAATATTTGGAAATAAGAATGCATCTTAAAATTGATGGCTCTTGAAAAGACTTTCACCAGGTGGCTGTTGTGCCTTAGTGCCAGCATCAAAGCATGTTTATTATGAAACAGAATATGCCTTTATGTTCTCACACAATAAGACAACAGCCCTTTGAAAAGTATTCCTTTCAAAAAAAATGACAATTCCATCAAAACTGCTTTGACAACCACATGTGTGAGGTTCATCATTATAAAACCGTCCTCACCCCATGTGTATTTTGTGCAGAGAGAGCTCCTATGACATCACTGTTCAGTCATTCACCATCTAGTGGTTGAAATCATTCACACAACTGGAGTTTCAATAATCAAGTGTAAAACAAAGCAGAAAACTGGGCTGGGGATTTAGCTCAGTGGTTCTGGCACTTGCCTTGCAAGTGCAAGGTTCCAAGTTCTATCCCTGGTACCAAAAAACCCCCCAAAAAACAAAGAACAAAGCAGAAAACTTAGAATTTTAATAGAATCTATCCTTCTTAAATAGTATCTATCTCTGTCTGCCCCAGTACCATATTTACATGTTAACCAGGAGATGGTGCTTTGTCTCAGCACTTTTGAAATGATGTTTTAAGAATCACCAGTGCCTACTAATACTTGACAAGGAAGGGGGATTATTTGACTAAGGAAGTTGATGTATAACATCTACTAAATCTTTTAGGAACAATCAAAAGCATTTCATTAGCTTCTCAAAGTTGTTCAAACTGATGTATTCCATCATGATGGAAATACCAGTTCCCAGTATCTATTATTACCTTAGGTATGTGAAACAGCATTAGGAATGCTGCCATAACCAAAAGAGGGTCTAGCATTCGAAACTGCAATCATCAAGTCTTGTTTGGTATGACTGAATGGCAGTTAGCAACTTGCTTTCAAATGGCTGCCTTCTGCTACTATTTCCTTTCTTTGTGAATAAAAACTACTTCTTGTATCCATGCAGGAATGGCTCCAGAGGCATTTTTTTTTGGTTCTTTCTTGTTTGTAGTTTTTGTCGTTCATTTTTTGTTGTTGTTTGTGATACTTGATATTGAACCCAAGGCCTTTGCACTGAGCTACATGCCTAGCCCTTTTTCTTCAGAGACATGGTCTCACTACATTGTCTAGGGATTCAAACTTGTGATCCTCCTGCATCAGTCTCCCATAGTTCTGAGATTACAGGCATGGGCCACCATGCTCAGCTGGCTCCCAAGTTTTATCAAATGCTATTTCATCTCTTTCTGGAGTTATGTAATATTTAATTTGTAGTGTGTTTTTTTTTCTGTACCGGGGATCAAACTCAGGACCTTGCAGTTGAAAGGCAGGCATGGTGCCACTGAGCTAAATCCCTGGCCCTGTAATATTTAATTTGTTAATGTGATAATTTATAATGACAGATTCTTTTTTCTCAGCACCAATACATTGAAATCAATAAAAAACTATGAGTACTTGGAATCCCAGAAGGAAGAGTTACATGCAGAAAAAATATATAAATACATAATAGCTAAAATTTTCTGGTATTTTAAAAAAGGCATAAATAAGTACAGATTTTAGAGGCTCCCAAAATCCTAGACAAGACTAACACAAAGAAAATCTTACCTGGGAATGTCATACTCAAACAGCTGAAAGTCAAAGGTAGTGACAAAATTATGAAAGCACCCAAAGGAAAAGGATACATTTCCTACAGAAGAGGAAAAGCAACTCGAATAACTCCATAATTTCTTTTTTTCATAATTTCATTACTTGTATGTGCGCATATATTTTCCAAACTTTCAACCACAATTCTATATCCAGAAAGACATCACAAATAAAGGCATTTGGAGGTGTAGGTATAGCTTAGTGGTAAAACATTTGCCTACAATGTGACGCCCTGGTTCTGATTCTCAGCACTGAGAAAAGAAAAAGTATAAAGGCATTTCTGGAAAAAGAAACTAAATATTTATATTACCATTGGTAAACATGCAGACAAGCAAATTAAGTTCTCCAAACTGATGGGAAATGGTAGAAGAAGGAAATTCAGATCTTTGAGAAGGAACACAGAGCATGGGAAATGGCAAAGATGAGGTTTTTCATCTCAGTTTATTTAAGATATATGACTTTAAAATTCCAACTGGAGTGACAATGTGACTTTCCCTGAGTTACTTCTTAATTCTAAATAAGAAATGTACCAATACAATGGGAAGAGCTGGTGGTCAATATATGAATCGAGATCATACATCATTCCATTGTATGTTCCCTAACATTTTGCAATATTAAGTATGGAATATTGTCTGTGAAGTGGTCTTATCAAAAATGTTTAATCAGAAATCTACTTAACCTTCTAGACATAACCTCTAGTTCACAGTAAATATAGAAGACAAATATACCTTGAGAAACAACAGGACAAATAAAGGATGTGCAACAGAATATAGGTCAGCTCTCCTAAATTTTCAAGTGAGTTCATATCATATAATGGTGGAAGATGGGTTCTTCACCAAAAGTGACTTAATAAGCCTTCATTATGTAAAATATATGAGCTTGGTTTAGTTCTTAGCTTTTTTTTAAAAAGCAGTGATAAAAGACAATCTTTGGGCCAGGGATTTAGCTCAGAGGCACAGTGCCTGCCCCACAAGTGCAAGGTCCTGAGTTCGATTCCCTGTACCAGAAAAAAAAAAGACAATCTTTAAACAATTGGAGAAATTTGCAAATGGACTGAACATTAGAGGACATTATGGGACTACTGTTATTTTTAGTGACAATATTTTAATAGTTATGTAGTAGATTATCTTTCATCCTAGGAGTTACAAGTTGACTTTTTTTCAGTGTTGGTGAATGAAACCAGGGCCTTGGGCATGCTAGGCAAGCACTCAAATTTTAGTATATGTGCTGCCAAAGTAAGCGCTAGGCAAGCACTCTACTACTGAGCTAAATCCCAGGCCTGTATGTTCACTTTTTATAGGTAAAGTAGTATCTAAGAATGCACTTAAAACAATATGGATATATATATATATATATATCTAAGAAAGAGATATGTATGTCTGTATGTACCGACACACACACATGAGACATGCACGTGTCTATATGTTTGTGACTATATATATATATACACAAAGAAGAGACATCAGATTCACTGCCACTAGTTGGAGAGCAAATAAGCTTTCATTGTGCCACTGAAAAGCTACCTTTCTCCTAAATATATAAGTCTGAAAACATTCATAAACTTGGAGAAAATTTTTCCAAGTCAACATCAGTCTTTTGACTACCCATCTATTAATTTCTAATATCTTCATATCTCAGGGCATGTAGATTGCTTGTTATGTTACAGAATTTATTATGAGAAAATTTCAAATCATGCTCTAGTTTTTCACCAGCTATACTGTCCACATTCAATAAAGACAGTATTTCTTTCCCCCCTTTAGGAGGATAAATTCTGAATAAGAACATTCCTTGGTTAATATACAGAATTTTGTTTAGCGTGAATGAGACTAAGTGATGATAGAAAGTTTTTGAGAATATTAAATATCTACTGTCTTTACTATTAGTAGTACTGATTGCCTCAAAAATAGTACAGTAAGCAAGTACCATGTGCCAGATGCCCTTCCAAGGGTTTATCTTTTTATGTTAAGTAGCTTATGTATATTTTTCCTAAAGGTCATTTTATAGTAAAATTATAAATACAACATTGACATGAATCATTTAAGCAACTGATCCTCTCTAACCATTAAAAGAATGTCTTTTTGCCTTGGCATCAACCAACTGGGAAATAATGTGAGAATTCACGGGTCTGGGCAGGTAATGAATCCTGGGCTGGGGCTTTTGGCAACTTAAGGAACCAGGTAGAACATTCCTCCCTTCCCAGGGAATATTCCCCTTTTGACAAGAACAGACAAGTGAAAACAGCAACATTTAAACAGCTCAATTTTAAATTCTGTTACTTGGTAAAAATATTTTTTTTCTTGATACTTTCTTCCATTTGATATCAGTAGAAGCTTTAAACATCATGAAACTGACTTGGCTATAAATGGAGATATTGTACCAAAACAAACAGACAAAAAATGCAAAAGACACACACAAAACCCTAAATAAAACCTCAAGTTTGGTCTTGGGGATTTACATATCACAAAAACCATCAACTCAAGTGATTTCTTGGCCAGCTATTCGATACACACCACTGATAAAGGAGATTGCCAACACATCTTTTTTTAACAAAGCGAGTGTGACACTAGGTAACTTAAAAAAAAAAACAACTGTACTTCATACACAGGATCTCCAAGAAGGCCATGCATAAACCCTTGTGAAGACTTAAGCCAAGCCACGTCCATTAGGCTGTGGACTAGCCATAATGGTAAAGGATGTTCCACAACTAAGTTTCCCTCCTCTTTACATTAAGAGTTTCTCACTACTGTGAAATCTTTGCTATTGAGTAAGTTGATAGTGCTGATGAAAGGCCTTCTCACATTTCTTACATTTGTGTAGTTTTGGGTGAAGGATATAGCTCAGTGGTTCCGCTACCTGCCCCACAAGCACAAGGTCCCGAGTTTGATCTCCGGTACCAACAAAACAAAACAAAACATTTGTGTAGTTTCACACCAGCATGAATTCTCTGATGGTGAATAAAATGATCACTACATTTAAAAGCCTTCCCACATTCTCTACTGTTTTTTTTTGTTTGTTTGTTTGGTGCTGGGGATTGAACTTGGGTCCTTGCACTTGGGCAGCAAGCGGCGAAACCACTGAGCTAAATCCCCAGCCAACATGCTCTACTTTTATAGCATTTTTCACCAGTATGAATTCTCTTATTTTGAGAAAGCTCTGAGTTAGAATGAAGGACCTTCTTATATCCTTTACATATATAATGTTTCAAACCAGAATTAACTGTCTGATCATAAATTAATTTAGAATTAAGTCTAAAGGTTTTCCCACATTTCTTACATTCTAGGGTTTTCTCCCTGACATGAATTGATGTGTTTTAAGTTCTCCAACATGATTGAAGGCTTTCCTACATTGCTTGCATTCCTATGGTTTTAAATCAGTATGAATTATCTGATGTTGAAAAAGATGTGAATGAAGCTTAAAAATCTTCCCACATTCTTTCCATTCATGTAGCTTCTCACCAGTATTAACTGTCTGATGTTCCATTAAGTTGAAAGCCTCTAAAAATTTTTAGAAGTTTTCTCCCATTACTTCTGTGAACATTTTTTTTAATGTCAATTGTACTTTCTCCTGTTTTTTCGTGGACTCCTATCTGTCTTATGTTATTCATCTTTGCAACATCTAGCAGCTGCTGGATTGATTTCTTGTGGTCCTTTACTATATTTAGGAAATCTCTGTTTTCACAGTCCTTAACCACAATACTGTCTTCTATATTTGATATTCTATCTTCAGATTCCCTTAATCTTCTGTGGATACTTTCAATGGAGTTTTTGATCTCCTGAATATATGTTTGAATCTGTTTCATGGATTCCATTTCTTTCTTATATTGGGCGATCATGGTTTCCATTTCTTTCTTATGCTGGGCATTCATGGCTTCCAGCATGTTTCTGAGCTCATCTATGTTTTTATCTGTTTCTGTTCTAGAGCCTCTAATCATGTCTCTCACTCTGCTCACCATCTCTGTAGTTATCTGGGAGATTATTTCTGCTCTGAATTGTTCTTTTCTTTTTTCTTTTTTTTTTTGGTACCAGGGATCAAACTTGGGTCCTTGTGCTTGAGCAGCAGGTGGCGAAACCACTGAGCTAAATCCCTGGCCCTGCTCTGAATTTTTCTAGAGCCTCATTCATCTGTTTTGTTACTTCCTGTGCTATCAGTTCAGGGTGTCCAGGTGGTTGATTATCAGTCTTTTCCACCTCGTTTCCCCCAGAATTTACCCTTGGTGGGGTGCAAGTCTGAGTTTGTGCCTTGCTTAAATGTCTCCTCATTTTTGTTTTAGGTACTGTCCTTGGTTTAGTTCCTCAGTTGATACTTTGAAGTTGCTTATTATAAGTATCTTTGTTGATGTATTTAGAACCCTTATGGAATGATTGCTTCTCAGAGGTGTCTTCCAGATATGGCTGGTCTTTATGTTTTGAGTCTCTAATGACTCTGAGACTATCTCATTTTCATTATACCAGGAAGGACAACTGATTAGATCACTCACAACACCTTAGCCCAAGTGTTACAATCAGCAACACAATAGCATCAAGTACCTCTAAAAAATGACAATTTGTAGTAGTTATTAATCTATCACCTTTAACTGCGTGGATTAAATAAAAATTGAGGACCAACCCAACATATGTTTATAGTGAATAAACTCTTCAATATAGCAACTGTCCCCTTCAGGATGGGGAGTTAGAAGGAGTTGGGGAGGGAAGAATAGGTAGGCAGAAGGATAGGGGAAGGTTAGCAGTGAGGCCAGAGGACACAGGCAAGAGAAGGAAAGAGAAGAAAAGAAAAATAAAGAAGAAATATGAATTAGAGCCAGAACAGGAACACAAAGGGAGATGAAGAACTATATGGGACAGCAAGGGAGAGAAAGAGAGAAAGAAAAGAGAAAAGAAAGAAAAAAGAAAAATAAAAATTTTAAAAGAGTAGAAAAAGAAGAAAAAAATTAAAAATAAGAGCAAAAAATAGTGATAATTTTGAAAATAACAAATAAAAGATAAAAATGAAGGCCTCCTTAAGGGTATGTCTCTGCTGTCACAATAGACAACATAGGCAGCAGTGCGCAGTTATAAGTCAATGAGTCTCAGTAAGCCAGTCACAGACCCGTGAGATTCAGGCAGATTTCTGGCTGCATGTGCCAAGTTGAGCTCCCTGTACTCCTGCAGGGTTGAACTCTGCAAGGTTCTATTGCAGGTTCCAGCTGCCTTTCCCCTGAAGACAGTTCAGGTTCTGATGGGAGGTGATCATCCCTCCAACTTACCAAGTACGGTGGTCTGATGTGCCTTTATTGCAGAGATTCTCTTCACTTTTCCAGTGGGCCTCAGTTTTCATCAGGGAGCCTGAGAGAGGGCCTCTTTCTGTTTTGTTCACTTCTGCAGCTCAGGACAATGGCCTTTATGTCCCCCTGTGCCCCGTCTCCTGGTTGCGGCAAGCCGGATGAAGTGGGGCTCCAGTCAGCCCGGGACCACTCTGTTCTCCCTTTCTATAAAACCTCAAAGTTACTCTAAACTACTTGACGACAGATTTTTTTTTCTGTACCTGGGATCGAACTCAGGACCTTGTTCTTGCGAGGCAGGCATGGCGCCACTGAGCTAAATCCCTCGCCCAAGATCTTGAAACACTGTCCTTTCCATCATGGCCAAGATGATTAAAATCCTTTTCCTGCCTTTCCCTGCTTGTCTCCTTGATTGACACTGGAATTGGTGGCTAAATCTGGTCTGATGGGGCCCCTGGAGCCAGGGCTTTTGCCCCAAAACTTCAATAGTATTTTCTCCAACTCCCTGCCAATGCAAGGACACTAATGTTAGAGAGAAGCGGAGAATTTTACTGTCTCTATTTCATGTTTTGCTCCATGGTTGTGAAATAGATCAGGTACTCCCATGCAGCTCTCAGGCCTTAATCTATTAACCACTACAGATGGAGACATGTCTTTCTCTATCTCCTTTGCTAACAATGTATGGAATGCACCCTCCCAGTATCCTTACTCCTATTCCAAGGACCAAGTGTAATGTTAACAGGGCAAGACACCAGCTTCTCTCCAAGGATGAGATCAGCCACTAGTCCATTTGCTATAGGGGTGAAATCACCTAAAACATGAGGAAGACATCTAAAGTAATGTTATATTCGTGATCTAATAGAAAAGTACCAGCCCCTAGCCCACACCAGTGAAGCAATAAAACCCACCCCCATTCTTTTGTTAATGTGTCAGTCTGATCCTCTCCCTCAGAGCAGTGACTCTTTTAGCTCCTCAAGCTAAAGCCCCTTCCTTATTTCCTTTACTTTTTTTTTTTTTTTCTACCAAGATCGAACTCAGGACCTCCTGCTTGCCAGGCAGGTGCTGTGTCGCTGAGCTACATCTCCAGCCCAATTTTCTTTACTTTGTAACTCCAATAAATCTACCTTGTCCTCTCACTGCTGTGTCCTGAAATTCTTTTTTCTATGAGGAAAGTCGATGAACCAGGGTGGGTTACAAGCCAAGTTGGGGCCATATAATAAAGCTCGTTCAGTGTTGCTCAAACCGCTCCGTGTTTTGCTTATTAGCTTATACATAGCATTCCTTTATAGTTATTTTCCATTTTTTTCATATTTCTAACTTCTGACACGTGGACAAGGAAACAATGAGAAAATGAGAACGCAGGCTGAGCTCTCCAAGTAATGAAGGAGACTCCACCTGTTAATATAAAAAGAAAATTGCAGGGTGGCGGGAAGCTCAGGCTTACACAGGATTCTGGGATGTGTAGTCCAAAGGCTTTCTATGATCGCCGCACTTTTGCCAGCAAAGCGCGACTATGATCACTGCTCCACTGGGGAAAGAAGAAACTACAGTATAATCCAGTGCCTGCATGTTTGGTGGCATTCCTGCTACCAGAAAGAAAGAATAGGAAACTCGTTCCGCTGGAGGATTCTGGGAAACGCGACTCAGGCTGCGCGAGTGCGCGCGTGCACTAACGTCCTGTGGGCGGGGGGGGGAGGGGTGTTTGCGGTGCGGAACCTCGCGGAATCCTGGGAACTGTAGTTCCAGAGCGCCGTGAAGCCCGGACACTTCCGCTGTCCAGTGTTAAGCCCACGGCCTGTGTTTCTCTCAGGGAGGTAAGCGTCTTGGGAACCCCTCGACATCTTTTGACTTTTATGGCCTGCTGGTAGGATCAGCGAGACCCGCACTTTGGTCACTGCGGAAGAAGCTGCGGCCAAGGGCGGAGGGCGGCACTGCGGGATATTGAGCGCCTGTCTGGCATCCGCTCTCCCGAGCCCCAGCCTTTGGGGTCGTTTGCAGATTCCCCTACCTGGATCCGGCTGAGTTTGTGGATCTCGTCGGTTCCCCGCTGCCCAACCTGCTCTGCTTCACCTCCCTCCCGTCCTGTCGCGGGTAGCGGTGTGACATTGAGTGAGCATCTTTTTGTGCCTTGGTTTCCTCTCGAGTAAAAGGGGGTGTTACGGGTACCCACTCACCTTATACATGTATTTTCATACTCAGGGATAGAGTACAAGTAAAATGTTTAGAACAGTACGCGCGTGTGGCAAAGTGTTGGCTGTTAGTGTTAGTACTATTATAATAACCAGAAAAGAATTCTTTTCTGTGGAAGCTCCTCAAAGTACCACAGGCTCTTTTTGATACTGATGGGAAAGGAGGATGTTCCTTTACTACTACCTCTCCCCTCTTCTTTTTGCTTTTTTTTGCGGGGGGTACCGGGGATCGAACTCGGGACCTTGCGCTTGCGAGGCAGGCGTCGGAACCACTGAGCTAAATCCCAAGCTTCTTTTTGTTATTTTTAACAGGTTTTATTATATTGGCTGAAATACTTAATAAATTTATGAACCCTTTTGAGAATCTTCAATTTCCATCCCCTTTTTTAAAAAGTGTGCTGAAAAAGCAATGTTCTGGTCAGATACAAAACAGCATGCTTTAACTCCTCATATATCCCCAACTACTATCTGATGATAAAGGATTCTCAGAAAGCAGAAGGCTTTGATAAATTCATCAGATAGGATCGCTTCAGTTCCTATACTACTTCTGAAAAAAAAATTTAAAGAAAGAATGCATCTCTTACAGGTGGATTCTTGGGGTATCATCTGGATTTCCCAAGACTGCAGACAAGCTCATGGTATCCCCCAGCCTCCTTTCCTTTCCCTGCCCCTCCTTCAGAAAGAAGGCTGCAAAGAGGGAGGGGAATGAACCCTGGGCTCCTGGCATCAGATGCCATTATGGCAGAACTTAGCATTCTCCTTCCTTTTTTGTTCCCAGTGGGAGAAGATATTTTGTTCATTAGATGTTTGTGATATACAGATGTTCAGTTGTTGAATATTGGAGAAGATATGTCAGAGGAGTAACTGTTGTAATAGTTAAACATTGAGTGCTAAGTTGCCTTGTAAGGACTTTATGAAAAATAGCATATTTAACCTTCACAAAGCTGCCAGATTTGAGTACTGCTAGTGCTATTATTTTACAGAAAAGGAAATGAAAACAGAACAAGTTATTTATGTCCCAATTCTAGTAAGAACGGTGGAATTTGCATCTAGTGCTTGTGTTCTATGTTTCGATATTGTTGGTCACACAATTTGGAATCCCAAAATTGTAATTAGGAAATAAAATAGGAAAACCATCTATGTAAATATCTAACCAGTTATTTGGCATCAATTTGGAAATGGGGTTGGAATTTTATTAAGGATTTAAAAAAATGTTTTATTTGTATTTTGTGTAGAGGATTTTTGAAAGCATGATTAGTGAGTTTCAACTGTTCTGTAAAAATTTTAAAGTACTCTCATTTAACTTTATTTTAAGCAGGGCCAGGGATTTAGCTCAGTGGTTTCACCGCCTGCTGCACAAGCGCAAGGACCCGAGTTCGATCCCTGGTACCAAAAAAACAAAACAAAACAAAACTTTATTTTAAGCAATATTCTAATCTATAAATTTAATCAGAAAAATGAAGCTCTTGATGGGGATTTAGCTCAGTGGTGCTGTGCCTGCCTCGCAAACACAAGGTCCTGAGTTCGATCCCCAGTACTGAAAAAAAAAAATGAAGCTCTTTATAGAATTCTGGAAGTATAGAAATACGTAAAGAAAAACATTTAGAATTACCTATAACATTCAGATACAGTTACAGACACTCTTCATTTAACAACTGAATTGTGTTCCTGCAACTAGGTTGCTAAATGAGGAATTGTATATAGTATGTATATTACAATATTCAGAACAAAGACATGGTCAAAGGAAACTCCAACTTGATGACTTTGCTTTTATTTCCATAACTCTTACATGCAATGCTGTAATGTATGACAACATAAAACTACAGTACTGTACTGTACGGTACAACCAGAAAAAATTACAGTATAATATAAACAAGGTGTACTGTAAAAAAAAAAAAAGTCTCTATATTGAGGCTCTACATTGAGGCTGTATGAACAAGATGTCCAGAATTGTTCAAAAAAAGAGACAGGTTGTAGGTCCAAATGGTGCACCTTGGTCCTAAGTCTGCTCAGTCGTTAAATAGGTAGGTCATTAAATGAGGACTATCTATATTAACATTTTCATGGATTTCTGTTAGCAGGTTTTTTTGGGGGGGATCGAACCCAGGACCTTGCACTTGCAAGGCAAGTGTAGTGCCATTGAGCTAAATCCCCGGCTCTGTTAGCAGTTTTTAATGTGTATTTGTCTATATGTTATGAAATTGTCACACTATGGATAGTGAGTTTTTGCTTCTTTACTATGGAAATTTGCAAACATACCCAATTTATAATACTACGTAATGAGCTCCTATGTAATAACTATTCTGTTAACCTTGCTAATATTGTTGCTTCAACCCCTACACACATATATTTTCCATTGAGTATTTTATAGCAAATGCAGGTGTTGAGTAAGTAGGACTTAAACATTGTCATAAGCCAAGGGCCGGGGATTTAGCTCAGTGGTTTTGCCACCTGCCGCACAAATGCAAGGACCCGAGTTCGATCCCCGGTACCAAAAAAAAAAAAATTGTCATAAGCCAGGTATGTGTTAGCACATGCCTGTAATCCCAGCATTTTGAAGGCTGAAGCAGGAGGATCTCAACCAAGTTTGAGCCCCATCTGGGCAATTTAGTGAATTAATGAGACCCTATCTCAAAAATAAGGATTGGGATGTACTTCAGTGAGAAGGAGTATGACAAAAAAAAACCCCACATAAATTGTGTATAAAGACTAAGGGAAGAGAGATTGTATTCATTTGGCAGGGCTGCCATAACAAAATACCACAGACTGAGTGGCTTGAGACAATGGAAATTTATTTTCTTATAGTTCTGGAGGCTGGAAGTTCAAGGTCAAGGTGTTAGGGACTTTGGTTTCATCTGAGGGCTTTCTCTTTTCTGTGCAAGAACTCCTGTGCTGCCCCTGTTATAATGAATCCACTTGTCAAAAATAGGCTTTTGATTGGTCGGGGATTTAGCTCAGTGGTTTTGCCGCCTGCTGTGCAAGCACAAGGACCAGCGTTCCATCCCCGGTACCAAAAAAAATTTTAAAAAGGCTTTTGAAAGAAAAGTTTATTCCAGTAAATAGGGACTAAAATTAGGAGATTCTAGCCACTAGCAGGGAAAAATTTCATCTGTGGGTGGATGGGGTAACACCAGGAGAGGGATGTTAGCAACTGGGAAAGGAATTAGTCTTATGTAGGTATTGAAGGGGCTAAGGAATCTGGGGTGAAATGTTTATGACTTGGATGCCCAAGGACAGTCTGCTGAAGTGTGCAGACAATCGCCATGCCAGGGAGGTTGTATATTTCGTCTGGAGTCCATTTGTCCTACTTACTAAGAAGCTGCTGCTGTTTTCTAAAAGCAGCTTGTTTGCTTTGTCCTGTTGGCTTAGGCCAGGCCTGACAGTCCCTTTGTATGTTAACGTACTTACCTCTGTAAGGGCACTATCTCCAAATAAAGTCACATTCTGAGACACTGAGGGGTAGAACTTTAACACACAAATTTGGGAGGGTACACAATTTGGCCCATAACAGATGTTAAGAGTTAATAGCGACTTCTAAGGTTTTCACTCTTGTCAACTAGGAGAATACAGTATATTTATGTGAGAAAGCTAGAAAGAAATGGGAATTGGGGAAAAGAAGATGATTATTTTTTTGTTCCTTTAGAGTTGTGCTAGCTACTGACGTGTGACTTTGGTCTCTCTCTCTCATATCTTTCTTTTCCTTCTTTCCTTCTTTTCTTTTCTTCCCTTTGCTTTCTTTCTTTTATTTGCTTTCTTTCCTTTCCTTCTTTCACTTTCTTTTTCTTCTTTCCTTTCATCTCTCTTTTCTTCATTTGTTTTCTGTGTTTCATGGACTTCATCATATTCTCAGAGTGCCCCCAACAGGTTAACAAAGAGGAGTTATTCAATGAGTAATTTGATTCACGTAGCTGTCCAACAAGTAGCTGAGAATAAGGTGCTACAGCTTGGGCTTAGAGAACAAAACTGAAAGACTATGTCCCTTGTCTTTTATCTCGCTTATTTTGGGTGGTGACAGAATCCATCAACTTTTTTGGAGTATTCAAAAGTTGATGTACAATTGTAGATAGTATTGTCATGATTGAAACAAATTCCTTTAGAGACAAGTGAACATTAATGTTTGCTGCTTTATTACATGGAGATCAGGGAAATGGTAAGAACAGCTGACTTTTGTTGGGTGTCCCTTATGACTTGGAGAATTTCAGTTAACCCATTTATTTCTCATGACGATCTTATTCATGTTCTCATTTTAGAGAGGAAGAAACAGGCATAGACAACCTAATTAAATAAGTGATTTGGTAGTACATTCCAAAAGAAGCAGAGCCCAGATCATACCTCAGCACCTAAGTTGGAAACCCACCTTGAGAACAGTACCTGGATGGCCTTGGGGAAGTTACTTAACCTCTTGGTGCCTCAGTTTCCTTACCTATCAAGTAGGAATACGATCAGTATATCCCTCCTAAGGTTTCTGTGATTAAAAAGATATGATATATAAAATGCTTAGACTCATCCTGGGAATATAGTAAGTCCTCTGTGAAAACTGCTTAGGGAAAGATGGAAGTAACTTGGTTGTAAGTCTGATCCTGTGGTTCAGGAGACTTAAGGAGAGGTTAGGAGTAACAGATGTCAAATAGCCAGTAGAGAATAAAAAACAGTGAACACATAGGTAACTTTGGGGAGGGGGCACATCTAGAGAGGACAGGGGAACTCATGGTTAGGCCTTGGCACCCTGAGAGATTCAAAGATGTTAAGGCAGTGCTTGGATTCTCAGGCTCAGATGAATACCAGAGTTGGAGAACCATTGCCTAGTGGTTAAGGATGTAGGCACAAATGTCAGACTGCCTGGATTCACTGCCTGGTGCACTGTCCTTTCTGGACAATGAAATGGTGACCTGGCTGTGAGGAGGGGTATAACAATTCAGATGTCAGCATCTCTCCTCCGCAGATTCTGATTTAATTGGGTGTGGATAAGGCTTGAGAATTTTTCAGTTCCATTGAGTCTCATGTGCACCCAGGGTCTCATTGACCCCCAGTCATCCTAATTGATTAAAGCATGGAGTGAAAATCTTGACTTTCTGGTAAATCATGAACAAGTGACTTTTCTGTGCTTCAATTTCCTGATCTGTAAAACGGGCAGAATTGTCTTCTCAATCCTTAGGGTTGTTATGAAGATTGCCCAGTAGGTACTATGTCAGGACCTAACTACTGAAGAGGGTTTTTCATGAATGGTTTGGAGTTCCCTGTGAATAACATCAGGTGCTTAGGGTTGATCTTGGTCCTCTCTTAGGGGTGGTAGAAATGTTAGAGGTGGAAACCCAAAGTCATTACCCTGTCTGAAAAACTCTGGAGAGCTGTCTTTGACTGATGCGTCTCAAATTGTGATCCAGAGACCAACCACATCAGCATTAGCTGGGATGTTAGAAGTGTGGATTCTTAGCTGGGTGTGGCGGTGCCACCTGTGGAGTCTTTCATCAGCTTCTGCCCATCTGTAAGTGGTAGATTCATTCTGTCAGCTCTGCTGAGCAATGACTTTGTTATAAGCTCTGTTTTAGGTTTCTGGAAAGTAAATCCGAATAAGTGTTAATTACCAGACAGGTGGTTGACTTACTGGTTATCCCTTTTCCCTCAGAGGGGATGGAAGGATCTCTCTGCAAAACACTTTTACTAGAGATTTCTGGGCAAATATAGAATTAGAACCAAGTGAATCACAAATTCTCAAGAGGGATTTATTCTAAGATTGGGAAGAAAGCCATACTGGGTCTATTAGCCTTCTGTGACTATCATGGGATCAACTTATGAAAAAGTTTTATTTAGCTCACAGTTTTAGAGGTTCCAGTCCAAAATAAGTTGGCCTCCTAAATTTGAGTTTGTGGGAAGGCTGCACACAAGGGTGTGTAGCAGAGCAAACCTGCTCACCTCATGGCCAGAAAGCAAAAAAGATAGGAAGAAGGAAAGGGCCAGAATCCCACAATCCTCTTTGAGGCTGTGCTCAAAACGACCTAAAGATTTCCCCATAGGCCCCACCTCTTAAAGCCTCTCCTAGTGTTACTGCACTGGGGACCAAGCCTTTAACACATGGGGCTTTGGGGGCCATTCAGCATCTGAACTATAGCAGCATGCTTCCGTAGTAAGTTTCTTTTATCTGAAATAAGAGGACTTACTACTAATTAACTAATACTAATCTCTTTATCAGGACCTGTCCCCCACTGTAGGAACCAGCTTATGAGCTCAAACTTGACCATGGGGTGACTGGGATGAAAACTAAAGAGACACCAGGTTAAAATGTGGAAGGTCAGGGGCTCTTGTCTCTCTTTAACAGAGAGCCTCGAGTGACTGGTGCACCTTGGCATTATTCACTCAACATAGGCACAAGCAATTAGAGTTCCGAAGGATTCATCTGTCTCTCACTCCATGGTACTTGTCCAGGTAAACAACAGGGTTTCAGGTGTTTTTACTTTTCCTCGAAGCATGTCTGCATGCTTGCATGCCCTGTTCCTTCTTAGTGCTGAGGAGGCCAGTTAAGCTTCAGTCTTCCCATCTAGTCTCCCACACCCCACTGGCTTGTAGTACAAGGGATTGACATCCCCAGCCCTTGTTTTATTTTATTTTGAGACAGGATCTTGCTAAGTTGCCCAGGCTTGCCTCCAATTTGCAGTCCTCCTGCCTCAGCTTCCCACATAGCTGGGATTACAGGTGTGCACCACCAAACCCAGCTTATTTTACCTTCAGTTTCCATCCTGCCTAGAGTCAGAGGCAGATCCCACAAGGAGAATTTATATTAGGGCCACTGTGTAGGATGGGTGGGTTGTTCGCTGCGTAGTGGCCCTGAGTTGGGAGTTTCAGCAATATTGAATTCAGCCCCTGCTCTGCTCATCAGGCTGTGTGCTGTGTAGCTGAGGCCATCCTTCCTGTTTTCCGGATGCTTGCTTTTTTGTCCTCATCCTGGGGGTGTGGGAATGGGTGTCTCACTGTCTCTATAAGGGCAGTCATCCCATTGGAAGGGCTCTAACTCCTAATTCACTTATCTTCTGGAGTACCATCACATTAGGACTTTAACATTCCATCCCTAGCACTGAGGAACAGCAGCCCAATGGGTATGTGGGTAACTTTTATTGAATGTTTAATCTGTCAGGCACGGTTCCAAATGTTTTGTGTGTATTTAGTCACTTTGACCTTCCTGTGAGTTTAGTGTTACCATCATTATTCCCCGCTTACGGATGAGACATGGAGGCAAAAGAGCCATCATGTTGGAGATGCCAGTATCCTAATATTGGAGAGCTGGCTTTAGAGCCTATCTTGTTCACAATTCAGTCTCTTCTCCCTCAAGTAGATCCTATATCTTTAGAGTTCTCTTTTCTTTCCTGTGTCGGTCTTCTATCCCCAGCTCTCTTTCTGTGAGATCTTAAGCTCCCATCTGCTTATTTTTGCCCATAGAAACAACAGAGAGAGAAGATTCAGAATACTGGCTCTGGCATCAGAGCTGGATTCAGGGATTGCTCCTGCCGCTCAACCTCACCTGCTTAATGGGTGCGGCAGTTGTCGTTTTCAGTTGCTGAGAACTTCCTAAAATGTCAGGTACTTTGCCAAGGCTACTGCATAAATTTGTTCATTTCCTATAATATCCCTATGACGAACATTCTTTTTCTTTTCCTTTTGTAGCTGAGGATAGGCACACAGGTTTAGGTGGTTGGACCAAGGTCACAGGACTGGCTCAGCAGTAGCATAACAGGTATGTTTGAGGTACTGAAACAGTAAATGCCAAGAGCTTTACAGGGCTCCTAACAGGTACTTAGTGTTAAACATTAATTCTGTTATTTTTATTCTTGCAATGATTACCATAGCTTGTTATTTCACTGGCATACTGATTATCAAATGTATGGTTAAATATATAGTATAGAGACAAGGGTTTGGTTTTTTTGAGACACGAGTTTTTATGAAATTTTCTTTTATCTCTTTCATGTTGAAAAGCCTTGCAAGGTCTTACATCTTTGAAAACTCAGTCAACAACATAGTCAAATTCATAGAGACAGAATAGTTACCAGGATGGGGAGAGGATGGGGAGTTTATTGTACAAAGTTTCAGTTTTGGATGATGCAAAAATTCTGGAGCTGAACATTGGCTGTGGTTGCATAACAGTGTAATTGTACTTACTGAACCGTACACTTAATAATGCTTAAATGGTAAATTTGACATGGTGCATTTTACTACCTAAAAAGTCCCATTCGTCTACATGAGATGGTCAGAAAACACGGTGAATGTTAAAAAAATTCTTTAAAAAAAATTTATTACAGCAAAAGATAATGTCTTAACCCCCCCCCCCGTACTTATCCTTGTTTCAAACACACTTATCTTGCTCATTGTTCTTTTCACTTTCTGAAGTAGTTCTAGAAATCTCTTTCATGAGCATCTTTAGTTGCATGGGGTGCCTAGGTGTTCTGAATTGATTCAAAATGTTTGCCTTTTGTGGTCATTTTGACTTTGGAGAAGAGCCAGATACATGATTAAAATACAGTAGGCCTTTGACTTACGAACTTGATCAGTTCCTGAGGGAGGGTTGGTTGTAAGTCAATACAGCTGAGATCTGGATGTTTACCTGGGTACATGCTATAGATAACAAGAGGCAGATGAATCTTCCATTAACTAACCCAAACTGTTCATATGTCAGGCCGGTCATAACTTGAGGGTCTACTATAGAAGAGGACACTGTAGATTTTATAAGTCTGCCTTTCTGTTGGATGGCACTCTGCAGTAGCATTCACCATATTTTTTAATCACACCTCATAAAGACACTCACTAAAGAGGACTTCCAGAACTGCTTCAGAAAGTGTCAAGAACAATGGGATAAATGTGTTCAAAGCAAGGGGAAATATTTAGAGGGGAATTAATGGCAATTTTTTTACTGTAATAAATTTTTGAAATGTAAACATTCACTATATATTTTGATTATGCCTCATATGTGATCTTAAATATTACTAGACAGGTATCCATTAAGTATGACAAACTAAGAATAATGATATTTCAGAAGTTAAAGGTAATTTTTTAATTTTTTTGGTACCTGGGATCAAACTCGGGTCCTTGCGCTTGCGAGGCAGGCGGTGGAACCGCTGAGCTAAATCCCCGGCCCTAGTTAAAGGTAATTTTTGTATGACACAGCAGCAACCTCTAAAGGTTCTCTTGATAGAAATCACTTATGAAGACAGGTTTTTATGTTACTGAATGTTACCTCCTTTTCACCATTTAAGGAATAAGTTACCCTAAAAGTGCTCTTTGAGCTTTTTTTCCTTCTTTGAATTCTTAATCCTGAGATTGTTAATTCTCTTGTTAAGTCTCTCATTTTATGGATGAAAGAATTGACATATGGAGATAATAATTTGCGTAGGATTTCACAGCTAGTAAATAGCAGTGCCAAGAATATCGGCCTTTTGGCCAGAGTTTACGCTCTTAACCTGTGCTGTACTTTCCATTTCTGTCCCGCTTATGATCAGAATCACTCTGTGAGGCCCGTGAGGAGAACAAGCGTTAGGGGCACCCTGAGTGGTAGGGAGTCACTCGTTCCCAGGGGCTCTTAGCTGAAGGAGCAAGTGGAATCTCTGGAGTCCAGACTCTGCTCATCAAGTCACCCCAAAGGAGAGGTCGCCCTTTCACAGAAAGCAGCCATATAGGTTAGTGCCACCCTTGGCCAGACTCTTATGGCTCTTTTCTTCTTCCCCCGTTGTGCCTTCCTAGGACCCAGCCATTTCCCAGAAGGAGGAGGACAGAATGCCCAAGTTCAAGGTGAGTTGGGCTTACATTTCTAGGTTTTAAACTCTCATCTCCTTTCTCAGAGGTTACACACATCTTGTTTCTCTTTTCTGAGGAAACATTAAGGAGAACTGTAGGCATTTGAAAATCTCTGATGTAGTGTTTGCTACTTTTTTTTCATGTAGTTTATTGATTGTTTTATCATTTTATAATTTGATAAATAAGCATAAAATAGAAAAGTCAGTAATAGTGACTAAATACTCCCATTATCTCCTTTTTCTCTTATAAAACAATGATTATCTTTCCATATTCTTTCCCTCATATACTTTCATAACAGTATATTGGTAATCATAGTGTAGATAAAATTTTTTAATTATGCTTCTCCTAAGAAATGTTATATGCCTTACATCTTTTAATAACATCATATTTCCTTAAATTGATGTACTCTGGGCAGTGGGCAGTGTATGAGTGTGTGAAGGATAACTTTTCCTTATTCATGGACATTAAGGTAGTTCAGATATTTTACTGTGTTGAGGATCATGGTGGTAAAGTTTTCCTGCATACAAGATTTTCCCCCAAAAAAGGATTTGAAGTTTTCCTATCACTTGTTCCTAATGTTTTAGGAATACCAAATTGTATTTTTGATGTGGTGCTTTGGATAATTTGTATGTGGAATATACAAACACAGCACGTAGCATCATGATCTGATCAGAGAATATGTTATTAGATATTTTCATATAAGAAAGCTAGATTTTTATTTTCAGTGCCAAAAAATGAAATCCAGAGTCTACTCAAGTGCCACACTACTAAGCTACATCCCCATCCCTTTTTATTTTATAATTTTGAGACAAGGACTTATTCAGTTGTTCAGGCTGACTTTGAACTTGTATCCTCTGGCTCAGCCTCCCAAGTAGCTGGGATTACAAGATTACCACAAAGCCTGACCAAAAGCTAGGTTTCCCTAACCTATGCCCGAGTCATACTTTGGATGTGCTTACTAATCTATATTTTTTCATCATTATATTAATTTATTTTATCAAGTAATAATGTACTTGGCAAGTACATTTTTTTTGTACTGCATCTAGTCCTCAGGTCAACCTTAGGAGCCAGTACTTGTTTCATTTACACTACAAAAAGCAGGATTGTAGAATTTCAAAAAGATGCCAAAGTTAACACGGAAGACCAAAGAAGCAACTAATTTTTTAAAACTTCTAGGATTTTTACTTGGATAGACAGAGGGGCAAGAGAAATAAATTCTCTTAGGCTTGCTTTCCTGGTGGGTGCTGAGCTTGTGGTTGAGGGGTAGAAGATGCTGTGGATAATACTGCCCCTTCCTGCTTCGCTCTTGGTGGCCCCTTCTCTGTGATCCCTTCTCTTCATTTAGGGCCCCTGAATGTGCAGTGCTCCAGGGATCAATAGTTTCATATGAGAAGTTAAAACAATGCTTTAATCTTTTTTTTTTTTTGGTACCGGAGATCGAACTCGGGACCTTGCGCTTGCGAGGGAGGCGCTGGAACCACTGAGCTAAATCCTCGGCCCAATGCTTAAATCTTAATTGCAGTGATTTTTTTTTTTTTTTTTGGTACCAAGATTGAACTCAGGACCTTGCACTTGCAAGGCAGGCACGGTGCCATTGAGTCAAATCCCCGGGTCCAGTTGCAGTGATTCTTAATCATGGGTGATTTTACTTACCAGGCAACATCTGCCAACAGTTTTATTACCACACTTTGGGGGTGCCACTTGTGTGTAGTGGATAGACGTTAAGGTGCTGCCAAACATCCTGTAGTGTACCAGATAGCTCTGATAGCCAAGAAGTGTCTGGCCCAAAATGTCAGTAGTGCTGAAGATGAGATACACAGAGCTATACAAAAACAGTAGCAAATGTGAGTAAAAGTATTTGCTACCTATATGCTGAAAAGAAAAGCTGGGATTACAGGCATGCTTCATCATGCCCACCTGAAAAAAATCTTTAACATATTCCATAGTAAAGTTGACTCTGTTCTCTTAGCATCTGGAACTACTTCCTGCACATCCTTCCCACTGTTCTTAGTCCTATCCTTCTTTTAGTGGACTTTTCTTGCAAGATTAAGTGGAGTGTATTTTGTGTTGTAGGAGACAGTGACCTTCAAGGATGTGGCTGTGGTCTTCAGTGAGGAGGAGCTGGGGCTGCTGGACTCTGCCCAGAGGAAGCTGTACTGCGACGTGATGCTGGAGAACTTCAGGAACCTGCTTTCCGTGGGTGAGGCTGGGTGCTCTGGCTGATCATCTGCTCTCTGGTATCTCTGCATCCCTGGATGTGCAGGTCCTTGGACTTCTTGAAGTGGTTTCCAGTTTCTAATCATCATGAGATACACAGTTGGAATTTTTCTAGTCTCTCTCCCCTGGCAAATGTGTTTGTCATGTAAGCTGACAGCATGATTGCTATATATTTGTGTCTTTTCACAAATTATACTCATTTCTAATTAGTGGCTCATGGTACATATTTAGTGAATTTTACGACTTTTTTTTTTGTACCGGGCATCGAACTTGGGTCCTTGCACTAGCGAGGCAGGTGGCGGAACCACTGAGCTAAATCCCCAGCCCTACAACATTTTAATGAAATGAAATGGGGTAGAAAATATCAGAGCCCTGGACAACAACTGCAAAAACTATAGCTCTGTTGCCAGCAACAGTGTGAGAGACATTAGAGAAGACATGGTAAAAACAGATACTTTTTTCCAGTAATTTATAAATGTATGTATGTTTTGAGTTTTTCCTTTTTTTGTTGTTTTGGTTTTGGGTTTTTGCATAAAATACATTTCTTCCATTCAGTCGTGATCAGAAGTTTGGAAAACACTAGCTTTGATGTCCTGAAGATGATACAATGAGAATACATGCAATCCTTAGTAATTTGATCTCTGGTGTGTTTATTTTAAATATATATCCTCGGTTTTTCACAGGGCATCAGTTCATCACACCAGATATTTTACCCCAGTTAGAGAGAGATGAAAAGCTCTGGATGTTGAAGACGACAACCCGGAGAGGTGACACCTCAGGTGAGTGCCGAGTGAGTGACTGAGCCTGTCCTGCTCCTCCGTCACCCCCTAGCTTCATGCTGGTCTAGGTCAGGGCCTAGTCCATAGATACCTGTGGCCATCATCAGCTGTCCACCTAGATCGACCCCTTTGAATGTTGGATCAGGTCACTGCCCTACTCTAAACCTCCAGTGACTTCTCATTTAGTTTAGAGTAAAATCTGTGTGCTTAAAGTGGGTTACAATGTCCCATATGTCTCTGCTCCTGCTTCTTCCCTCAATGCTCTGTAAACACAGCTGTGATTTCCCCTTTGTCATTAGGTGCTACCCACACTGGCCTCTCTTCCAGGCCAAGCATGCTCCTACCTCATCACCTGTCATGTGACTGCTCTCTGGAAGGAGCAGCCTTTCATTCCATCATTATTTTCACTCCTCCCTTGCTTTGCTTGTGTCTCTTCTCAGGTGTAGCATCTTAAGAAAAGCTCCCCATGTCCACTCTGTTAGTTACGCTTTCTTCTTCACTTTTTTTCTTACCCTGTTTTATTTTACATCTAAACCCTGATCACCATTTACAATATTAACTTATATTTTTATTTATTTTCTCTCTCTCTCTCTCTTTTTTTTTTGTACTGAGGATTGACCCTGAGGCCTCCTGTATAGTAGGCAAGTACTGTAACTCTGAGTTACATTCTATCCTTTTAAAAAGTATTTTTATTTTGAGATAAGAGTTTCTCTGAGTTGCTCAGGCTGGCCTTGAACTTGTGAGCCTCTTACCTTAGTCTCCTGAGTAGCTGGAATTACAGATGTGCACCACTATACTTGCTTGTTTACATACTTATAGCACTACATTCCCACTTGAATGTGATCTCAGGAAAAGAAATTTTGGCTGCTTTGTTTGTTGCTCTATCCTCAATGTACAGAACTGCCCAAGGGCAGTTGTACTATAAGTATTTGTTGAATAAAGAAGTGAATGAGTTAATCATTGTACATGAACTTTTTTCCATTAGTTGTAGAGATACTTAAAGTTTGGTAAATAAAAATGTGTGATGAAAGCATAGTCTAGAACATCTTTTCCCTGGTATGTGTCTAGTTTTAATTTACTAGGTGCCTTTCGATATATGTAGGTATACATTAATATGCAGTAACTCACTGTCTTAGTCTGTTGCGGCTACTGTGACAAAATGCCATAGACTGAGGTGCTTGTAACAACAGAAAATTCTCAGTTTTGGAAGCTGGTAAGTCCAGTTCAAGTCACCAGCGGCTTTGATGTCTGGGTGAGCCTGTCTAGCTGAAGGTGACACCTTCTTGCTGTCTTCACTTGTATAAGGGGAAGCAGTGTCTCTCAGGCTTCTTTTATAGGCTGTAATCCTATTCCTGAGAGCTGCACCCTCATTGTCTAATTACCCCCTAATACCATCACCTTGGGGGTTTGGATTTCAGCCTAAGAATTTTGGAGGGATACACTTAGACCATAGCTTCCACATCTCACGAAAGCTTCGCTTTGCAGTTATAACTAAATTGGGTGTCATTTTCCCCTGTGGGTTTCCTGTATTCTTTAGTCATGATGCATATTCACTTAGGGAGAAACTACTTTTTAGAGTGGAGATTCTAAAAGCCACTTTTTAGGTTCTCTATAAAACAAAATACCTACCCTTTACCTACAGAAAGAGAACTTTTGGAACTTTCAGCTTTCAAGTTAATCTTTCCCCTCACAGATTTTCCTTGTTGTAGCCATTTACCTCTTCCAAAGAGACTTACAGAAAAGACTATTACCTATAATTTAGTCTTCTGTATTAAAAAATGTATCAAGCTGGTAATAGTGGTATATACTTATAATCCCAGCACTCTGGGAGGCTGAGGCAGGAGGATTGTGAATTTGAACCCAGTCTCTGAAACTTGGTGAGAGCCTGTCTCAAAATTAAAAATTTCTTTTACAAAAGGGCTGAGGATATAGCTCATTGTAGAGGCCCTGGGTTCAATACTCAGTACTGGGGGGAAATGCCAATATTATTATGTATAGCCATGTCTTTATTGCCTCAAAATCTAGCATTAAACAAGTTTTATAGATGATTCATAGTTATTAAAAAAGCACATGCTAAGGAAGGTAGAGCTTAGAGAGCTTTCCTTCATTCTAATAAGGACCTGATTAACATCATGTCATGGGTAACATAAACTGACTGGAACAAGGAAATTGCCCTCCTCAAAACTGACATATCACCAGGAGATGAAAAGATCACATCTAGAAGGGCTACTTGGAAAATATATATAGAAATGACAAACTATGTAGTCACAAATTTAAGGGAAACACACCTGTTATTTTTGCACGTGTATGTCATTACTATAACTTTTGTTTGAACAATTTAAATGCTTAAGGAATTGATACTTAACTATAGGCCATTGGCTTTTAGGCTTTTTTGAGTATATAGCTGATAAGAAATATGTTTTAGGATCTAGGGGTGTAGGTCAGCAGTAGGACATACACTTAGCATAAACAAGGCCCTGGATTCAATATCCAACATCACATACACAAATTTATAGGCAACATATTCATGTGTGTGTAGGTAATGTGTATGTATGCAAGCATTTTTGCGGTGATACCTTTACTCTTTACAAAGTATCTCTAATATTTTTCTATTTTGTCAGTACTTTCCATTGGCTACTAAATTTAAAGTCATTGAACCTCGGCCTTCAATTTGAAAAACACTGGTGTGGCCATATAGAGCAATCTACCTACTTCCATCAATTTTATATAATCTGCTTTAAGACATAGCATTATTCTTGTTACTCCTGGAGCTCTAAATATTGACTCTTACCTTTAAAATGAAGTATTTTACACATATATGGAAGGAGTACAAAAATTTCAGAAGCTGTCAATATCCTTGGAAGCCCCATGGCCACTTCCTGCCTTGTGATTTTTTTTTTTCCTTTGAATGATTCTTGCCATGGTTTTGTGATCAGCCTGATTTTCTCACCAGCAACATTCAGTTTGCTTAGCCCTTCAGTTTTATGATACTTTTCAACTTCTCAGCCAAAATGGTTTAAATCTCTTTCCTATTATGGATAACTCACTTGAAAAAAGCTTTTATTTTTGTAACTTGGGCTCAAACTCACAAAGAAGTCAAACTAGAATTCGTTTGTTCACTGAGCATATATTTATTGAACACTGTTAGGCAGTGCTCTGGGAATGGTGATAAAGTATGAACAGTACAAACCGTGTCTTCAGGGGTATTGCATTCATGTGGGGTAAGACATAAAACAGGATAGAGGGCGGCTGGGGATTTAGCTCAGTGGTTCCACCGTCTGCCTCTCAAGCGCAAGGTCCTGAGTTTAATCCCCTTTACCAAAATAAACCCCCACACACATACACAGGATAAAGGCATGTAGTATGTCAGAGGGCTTTGTGAGCTGTGTGAAAACAAAACAGTAAGGTAAATAGAGATTGCCAAGGGTATATAATAGATGGGGAGAATTTACTATTTGATATTGGGTGGGAAAAGAGGCCTTGCTGTTACAGTGTTCTTTGGAGACCTAAACAGAAGTACATAGCAAACCATATGGGAAATTGGTGGAATTGAGTTGCAAGGGGAACATTAACATTTTTTTTTCCAGTATTGATTTTGGAAATCTGTTCTGTTGCTTTATTTCTTCCTCAGAGTTCTTGATCTGTTATAGATTAACTTCCAGGTTTTCATTGTTTTCCTGTGAAGACTTTAATTGCCATCAAGTTTTAGAATAATGTGTTATTACTGGAAACCTTTTCCTTAGCTGTTATTGTGGAGGGTATTTCCTAGAAGGAGGTAAGCACCCTGCTTACACTCTGAACTTTAGGTATTTAGGGGATGAGGTATTTTCTTCCAAATATGTATCTTTCTAACCAGTCCATTGTCTCAGAGCTCTTAACATTGCAGTCAACTTCCAATGAAGTAGTCCAAGGCAAAGATTTTCAGCATTGTCTAAGGATAGCTGATAATCTGTAGGGATTTTACTAGACATTTTCAGCAGGGCCAGTTCATTCAGATGTCCATGCAGTAGGCAGAATTATGTGGAAGATGTTTGTCAAACAGTTGCTGCAGCAAAAGGAGACAAGGTTTTTAGTGAGGTGCAGCTTCTTGGTAGATTTTTTAGAAAATATTTTAGCCCAAATTTCCAACCTGTACCTCACTTATGAAACTTAGTGAGATTCTAAATTATTAGTCTCATTAATGTGTGGTCAGTGGAGCCTGGCAGACCACTCGTTGGTTTGTGGGAGCATATAAGTCAGGTAATACAATTCATGATGAAAAAGAAAAATGGAACCTTCTCCCTGGTTCAGTAAAACTTTAGTCTGGGGGTCTAAGAATATAACTGATATCTCTGAATACAGCATTCTCATGCCCTATCTCTGAATTCTCTTTATCCTTTTAGGAGACAAGAATCCAAATGAGATGGAGACTCTTCAAGAAGTAGGCTCAAGGTACCTGCCACATGAAGAGCCTTTCTGCTCACAAATGTTGCAACAAGTTACAAGGGAGTTAACCAGATGTCAAGAGACTATGGTGAATAATCAAGAAACTGGCTCTCAGTTGAAAAAACTAGATGATGTACCCTATGAAGATGAAGATTTCAATAAACACTTTAATCAGAGTTCACATCTTCAGGTTCACCACAGAGTCCATGGTGGTAAAAAATTTTACAAAGGGGAGGCATATAAGAAAGGTTCCGTTTGGGACTCTCATATTCAAGTTAACCAGAGAGCCCATGCAGGAGAAAAGCCCTACAAATGTGAAAAATGTGATAACACCTTCCGTCGCTTTTCAAGTCTTCAAGCCCATCAGAGAGTGCATAGTAGAGAGAAACCATACAAACCTGATTTATCATACAAGGGTTTCAGTCAAAGGTTACAATTTCACCACCATCAGAGACTCCTGACAGGAGGGAATCCATACAGATATGAGGAGTGTAGGAAGACTACTGGGAAAAGCTCACATTGCCAGGCTCCTCTGATAGTCAACCCAGGAGAGAAACCCTATAAATGTGAGGAGTGTGGGCTTGGCTTCAGTCAGATCTCATATCTTCAAGTTCATCAGAGGATCCACACTGGAAAGAAACCTTATAAATGTGAAGAGTGTGGAAAGGGCTTCAGTTGGCGTTCACGACTACAGGCCCATCAACGAATTCACACTGGGGAGAAACCATACAAATGTGATGCCTGTGGTAAGGGCTTTAGTTATAGCTCACACCTTAACATTCATTGTAGAATCCACACAGGAGAGAAACCCTACAAATGTGAGGAGTGTGGGAAAGGCTTCAGTGTAGGTTCACACCTTCAAGCCCATCAGATAAGCCACACTGGAGAGAAACCATACAAATGTGAGGAATGTGGGAAAGGCTTCTGTCGGGCCTCAAATCTTCTGGACCATCAGAGAGGCCACACAGGAGAGAAACCATACCAATGTGATGCTTGTGGGAAGGGCTTCAGCCGGAGCTCAGATTTTAACATTCATTTTAGAGTCCATACAGGAGAAAAACCCTATAAATGTGAGGAGTGTGGTAAGGGTTTCAGCCAGGCCTCAAATCTTCTAGCCCATCAGAGAGGCCACACTGGAGAAAAACCATACAAATGTGGTACATGTGGGAAAGGCTTCAGTCGGAGTTCGGATCTTAACGTTCATTTTAGAATCCACACGGGAGAGAAACCCTATAAATGTGAGAAGTGTGGTAAGGCCTTCAGTCAGTTCTCAAGTCTTCAAGTACATCAGAGAGTCCACACAGGAGAGAAACCGTATCAGTGTGTAGAGTGTGGGAAGGGCTTCAGTGTGGGGTCACAGCTTCAAGCCCATCAGAGGTGCCACACTGGAGAGAAACCATATCAATGTGAGGAGTGTGGCAAGGGCTTCTGTCGGGCCTCAAATTTTCTCGCTCATCGTGGAGTTCACACAGGAGAAAAACCATACCGATGTGATGTGTGTGGAAAGCGCTTCCGACAGAGATCCTATCTTCAAGCCCACCAGAGGGTCCACACTGGGGAGAAACCATACAAATGTGAGGAATGTGGGAAGGTCTTTAGTTGGAGCTCATACCTTCAGGCCCATCAGCGAGTTCACACTGGAGAAAAACCATACAAATGTGAAGAGTGTGGGAAGGGCTTCAGTTGGAGCTCAAGTCTTATAATTCATCAGCGAGTCCATGCTGATGATGAAAGTGACAAAGACTTCCTTTCATCAGAGCATTTATACAGGAAATAAACTATAAAATATTGTTTTAGTATTTCAAGTGGGTGCTTAAATACTCCAATGATGAGTGCTGTCATAGGAAACAAAAGATTTGTTTCATAAAGGGTCAGCATTTTAATTAAAGCTTGATATATTGCAGTAGTTGGGAGGTCATATAGCAGAGAAACTGTATAAAAATTTAGCTAAATGGATTTCATTCCAAACACACAGGTACACAGACAGGATGCTCAGGAAGGGTGACTCTGACCTGAAATTAACTAAAAATACCAAGATGGAAGTGCCAAAATCTATCCCACTAGAATATAAGTTCCAAGAGGGTAGGAACTTCTGCCAACTGCCAAATCTCTGCCTTTTCAGTGCCTAACACATTATATGCTTTCAATAATTATTATATGAGCAGAAAGGAGACCAGTCATATTTGAAATTGTTTATTCAGTTTCTGTAAAATTGTCCTCAAGAGTGTTGTGTAAGGCTTGGAGGACATTTAAGTTAGACAAGTGGGCTCATATTCCAAACTACAAGTCCTGTGGACTAATATTTATCAAATTGGAAGTTGCAGCCCATTAATGGATCCAAAAATCAGCTCAGCGGGTTGTGACCAGCATTTTTGAACTCTAACACTTTTATTGAGGTAAGGTTTACATGCAATAACATGCATAAACCTCAACTTTATGACTTTCTGAATTTTGACAAATGTATACACATATGTAATAATCACTAGATCAGTGTATTCAATGTTTCTATTAAACAGAAAGGTTTCTTAGGCCCATTTCCAGTCAGTCCCATGTTCAGTGCCAACAATATTGTGATTTCTATACTATACATTAGATCTATTCTTGAACTTCATATGGGTTCTATATGTACATTTTTGGGATAGATTCTTAGGATTATCTTGATAGATTCAGAGAGAACATTTGACAAAATTCAACATCCATTCCAGATAAAAATTAGTTAAAAGGTGTATATGAAAATCTTACAAGCTAATATCTTTTAAATTTTTTTAAATTAAGGAATTTATATAATTTATATATATATGAGGCTGCCTTTAGTATATCATTGAGTTTTGGCAAATGCTTACTCTCAGGTAACCACCACAATGAAGACATTTAACAGTTCTAACGTCCTCTGCCCTGAAATTCCCCTGTGTACAGTGAGGACTTCTCATCACCAGCACTTGACAACCACTGAAATATTTTGTTTGTATAGTTTGCCTTTTGCAGTATGTCATGAATGCAGTTTTACAGTATGTAGCTTGCTCAGTCTCATTTCTTAGTGTAGTGCTCTTGAGATTTACTCATGTTTTATATATATCAGTCGTTCCTTTATAAAAAGTTTTGTAGTGCTAGGGATCAAACCCAGGGCTTTGCACATGCTTGGTAAGTGCTCTACCACTAAGCTGTGTCCCTGATCTCAGTCACTCCTTTTTATTGCTGATTAGTATTCTGTTGTATGGATGTACCACATTTATTTATTTATTTACCACTTGACTATTTGAGTTTTCAGATTTGGTGATTATGTAGAAAGCAACTATAAACATTTGTGTATAGTTTTATCAATCCAAGATTTCATTTGTCATAAATATCTAGGATTATTACTGGATAGTATAGTAAGGATATGTTTTATTTTACAAAAAACTGACAACTTTAAAATGGTTGTCCATTTCTCACGGAGTCAGTGTTTTTAATTTTTTTTTTTTTTTGGTACCGGGGATTGAACTCTGGTCCTTGCGCTTACACAGCAGGCGGCGAAACCACTGAGCTAAATCCCCGGCCCC